AGGGCTTAGCAGAATCAATTATACAGTAATTGATATGTGGGCCAATGTCAATCATGATGCAGTTGTAAACGTTTAGGCTATTGGCCAGTCTGAGACATAATGTTGCTAAAGCAGGTTGCCTGTTCCAGGTGAACTTACAGGCAGAAGACACAATCATTAGAGCTACGTCCACACTAAGCTACAGACAAGAAGACAATCATTTGAGCTACGTCACATTAAGCTTGTGACAAATGTGATTTGCCTATATTGTATTCCGGGATTTCTTATTATTTTGTGCGTATGTTGCGCGCCATAAAATAGTAAGGCAAAGGTCAGTACGTACGTTAGCCTACAGTGTTTCTAAATTCGTAATTTATCACTCTGGCTCCGTTTCATTCATTTATTATTCGTCTCCGGACAAATTTGACATTAGAAGACTCCGTGAGTTACTGCGTTTATTTGAATTTTAATGTTTTTAAAAACAGTTTATTGGATGTAATATGACAACATTCATGTCTACGTCCATGATATTGTCATGCCGATGTATAGGCACCCATTTTTCACAATATAATATTTACTGTAATGTACAGATTGCAGAAAAATGTTACAAAAAAAGTATATATTTGAGGTGAGGGCCGGATGCAACAGTTTATTGGCATGCCGAGCTGATAGCGAACAAAGGATAATTAGGGAAACTAACTAAGAGTGGTGGTTATTTTAATGTAAATTTATCTGCACGTTTCCAGTAACAAGGGGGCGGTGCCGTATGAAGTCAAACGTTTTTTTCAGGGGCTTGCACCGCCACACTTCTTGCGAATTATGACGTCACTAGGGATTGTTCACCTACAGCAACATCATATTTTGCTTTACTTAGAAGCGACTCAGGAGTTATGTCAGATTTTGCATTTATAATGGTTGTCAGTCATATTTCTTGTATTATTACAAAGCAGTTATTATACGAATGTTAGATTTAATAAAATTTATAGTACAAATACTTGATATCATTGTGGCGTTTAGTAATCTGTGCAAACATATAATATAGACTATGTTCACACTAACAAGGCTTATGTAAATATGTTGTTTATCCATATATGGGTGTGCTGATGACATCATCATACCATGGATAGCCAAATAATACATTGACACAGATGTGTGTGAGGACATAACATTATAGTATATCCATGATTTGCAAATGAGGGAAATTTCTAGACGAGATTTTCATAATGCAGTGTTTTTATAAACCATGTGAACCATGCTTCGCACAAAGTCAGTCTGTTATATTGTAAAAAAAATCAGCCTTAACCATTTCTTTCGTAAATTTTTGATGATGCAAGGTTGAAGAGGGTTGGCCCACTTACTAAAATTGGGTCGGCTAGGCACAAACTGTGCCGCAGCAGTGTTATATCGTGAAAAAAAACAGTACCGTATCAGGTCAATGAATGTATAAATATTAGCATGTCCACTCACAAAAGAATGTTGATATCGACTTTACTGCACTCCATTGTGTTAAAAACTTAAGTTTCACATATGAAATAATTTCATGTCTTGCTTTAAAATTACGCCCTCTATCGATTTATAATCTTTCAAAAAGCTTACGATGTGTCAAATACACTGTGTTAAGCCAATAAAGGTAAAAATGAAGTTTAAAATTTCAATTGTTATTTTTACTAGAAAATACTATTTTCCACCAATTTACCATTCTATAATTTGCACAGATTCTTAATCTTTTAACTGTCCTGCGATTGATTTTACTTCAAGACCCTTATTGACAATAAGGTTAAAGGTAAATATAAAAGGCACTGATTTTTTACCTTATTAGCAGCACAAGTAAATAATCACACAGTTTATCAGCAAAGCACGAGAATGATGAAGTACCAGGGCAACTCAATCATAGACTGGTACGTATCTGCAGGCCCTCAATAGGTCCTGCAGAGACCATCATGATATATAAATTAATGTGTTACATTCACCGTGACCTTTAGCGCTGTCGTTATTATTTAACTAATAAAAATGTCTGCAGCAATGTAGTAAAAAACATTAATTCAACATTTGAATTGCTTAATTTACACTTAAGTAAGCCGAAGTATTAACTTGCAATTAAAAATTGGAAAGGAAAAATAGTCAATCAATTTGAAGATCTTTATAGACAAAGGTCTGAAAATCATTAAAATAAAATGTCGATTTGTATATTGTGGTAGTCTGTTACCAGTAACAGTTATAGGCTTTCTTGACATTTATTATAGGCTTATATATTTAAATTTACGGTACTGTCACCACTTAGATAGTTATGAAAAGAACTATTTTTTTGTTGAAAATGTCTGCATCTTTGTTTTTTTGTATGGAAGCGCAAAGAAAGGTTTTTTTATTATGCGTGCGTTGCCACGAGCCCCCAATTAGTTTGTGTGGACCCCTAAATGGTCCGCATACACCTGGTTGGGAACCACTGTTCTAAAAATTTAAGAATAATATTAAGTTAAAAACCTATGAGGGATTGACAATAAGTGCTGACATTAGTGTCATATTAGGATCATAACACAGATTATGTATGCTTTACTTTAAGACCTTTAATTCTGTAGGTGAAAGGTCACTTGATAAAATTCTGTCTTTGTTTGAACAGATTTAGTATTTCACAGAACTGTTCCTTATCTCTATTAATTTATTTGTAGTACTCCCTCTATAGACCATTGTACGTTAATGATGTTTTTAGCCGTGACTGCAATATTCGCAAACAAGACGAAAAGTATGGAAAGCATTATGAGACTTCAAACATGTCAAATTTCAACAGTAATTCAAATGGATGAACTTAGGTAGGCCTAGTTATAAAATAGATGCCGTCTCATTAGCCTTAATCATCATAAATTCGATTAAGAACTAAATGTTCGCAAAACAGATGCCTGCACATATCTGAAAGGATTTTCCCGACGGAGTGGGTTGGGGCGAGGTCTCCGACGGAGGGGCCGTTGTCCCCGACGGGCGTGTTCGAGCATCGCTCAATTTTTTTTCTCTTTTAGAGAAATTGTGATTTTTTTCCTTCTCCTTCAGGGTAAAGCTCTCTCCAATGGCAGGCGCTGGATCTCCCCCCCCCCCCCCCCGGCCCCCTCTCCACTACAGTATTTGGGATTAGCAATCAAAATAACCTTATATTTTATAGGCAAATCAGACGACTTCGTCGTGGAGTCGGACGACGGTGGTCCAGAGACAGCGATCGACAATGTCAACGATAAATTATATTGTGGCTGCAGCAATATCATCTGTCCCGAACGATTTACTCAACATTGGGGTCCAGTCTTGTGTTTCCAAACAGATGCAAACAGGCTTACAGATACTCACCCACCTCTAAAATTCCTTTCACCCAATTTTAGTTTTCAACTTCTACAACCAGATATTTGTAGCATTATTATCATTGTAGACAAGTTTAAATACAGTCTTCTTACAGTCAGCTAATTAATATGCCTTGCACTACAACAACAGGTTGTTGTAGTGCAAGGCGTATTTATTAGGGCTTCGAATCCTTTGAATTTATTCAAATACATTTTCAAAAGTTACACAATTCAATTTGCCTGTTTAAGTACTTTATCCGCTGTTGGTTTGACTAATACACTAAAAAATGCTTTTGAAAACAATTTCTATAGCAATTGAAATCTATGCACGCGATGATTTTTAGCGGTCCAACTCTATAGTTTTTCCGTGTCTCTGAGGTACAGTAATTGTAAACAGGCACAGGTACCTATTATACTACAACGGGTTTCTAAACAGCTTGAATAGACTCTTGGAATTCTGTTCAATTTACTTTCAAAAGGTTTTCTGTGTCTAAAAAGTATATAAAGTACGCTAACCTGTCAACAGTATTGTATCGCGTGTATTTACGTAGCCTAACCTCTCCATTGTATTGTTCTGTTATTGCTGTATCATCGGTTGATGTTTTGATATGATTTATGAACGCATTGTTGAACTGCTACAGTGCATGCAGGATTAGTGTTCATACTTCCACAGAGATCTATAATAATTGCTGTCTTGAATAATACTCTGCCGTTCAAATATTCTACCGTGTCCTCTATCATGTCTGAGTTGTTACTTACATATTACTCAGACATACTCAGTTTGGTATTTAAAAAATACTACTGTACTTCCGTAATGTGAACCTCTATAAAAATAAGATCTTTAGATCTTTATATCAATGTTTGTTTATAGCAGGCTACTTAATATTTAATTATTAGTAGGCCTACCTGTTAATAGGAAAGTGACTAAAACTGACTGATATACAATTTAACTGGTATAATCTTACCCATAGCACTTCACTATCTTTTTTTTCAAATATTTATTATGATGTGTTTTATTGTATTTTATATTGATGATTTTTACGGAAATAAATGTTAAGTATTGAATCACAAACACAAAAATTACAATTA